TGAAACAACTGGCTTTGGAGAAATCCTCGAGTAGAAATGTGGAGAGGATTGGAATCAGAGTTGTCATCGTTTGAACCGAGTAGATGATTGCAGGGGTGCGGATCCACCTGCAGCCTCCTGAGGTCATCGAGGAGAGAAAGAGATAAGGGTTAGATCTGCTCAGGGCTCCAGCTGTCACGTAAGTTTGCACCTTGGGCATTATTATATCACATCCAGTTTCCACTTGGTGCAAAAGGAGCTAGAATGATTCAGCTGAAGGGAGCAGGCAGAGACAGGGTGGAGGATGCTGTGGACATACCTGGAGCCATGAGCAGATCTAACCCTTATCTCTTTCTCTCCTCGATGACCTCAGGAGGCTGCAGGTGGATCCGCACCCCTGCAATCATCTACTCGGTTCAAACGATGACAACTCTGATTCCAATCCTCTCCACATTTCTACTCGAGGATTTCTCCAAAGCCAGTTGTTTCAGAGGACAAGGACCTAAGACTTTCCACGAACGACTACTCCTTATATCGCTCTACATGCCCTACTTTCTCATCCCTCTTATACTTCTGCTTTTCATGTTGCACAACCCCTACTACAAGCCTGAGGAGAAAAGAAAGAAAAAATGAGGAAAAATCACCCCGGGTCCAGGGGAGAGGTGACCACAGGGCAGTTTCCTGTTGGACCCAGTACCAGGAAAATGCTCAGAACCCATGTTTTCAGTAGTATTTGAAACACACCAGCAGCAACACACAAGGCCAAGGCACTGGCAGGAGGCACATCAAGCCCTCATCTTCCAAGGGCACTGGCATAAACAGACCGATCACCTGAGGATGAGCAGAGGGGTGTGGGCTAGGTTATAGGGAAGTGGTGCCAAAGGCCCCACTGTGTGCCCAAGTGCCATTGTAGGATTACTAAAGGCAGGACCAGACCAGACACCAGATAAACTTCCAAGCAACATGGCCTACTTGGCATGTTCATGAGTCATTTGATCCACAGTATACATGTGACTAACCCTTTGACTCATGACTCTACAGCGTGTCACTGGGGTGCCTCTGTGATGTTCATTAAAAACTCTTTTCTTGTCCCCACACCTAGGTGGGGGTGAGCTATTCTGTAAGAGGGTTAAACTTAGTTTTCCTTAAACGTTCAACCTTGGCATGACCTTCAGTCAGAAATGGGTCAAATTGGAAGGTGTATTGTTTCTGTCTTAAACAGGTTGTCCCAGGAGAAGAGATTTTTTAAAGTCTCCTTGTTTATCCTCTTTCCAAGCCTCAGTCTTCTATTACTTTTTACAGACCACCTAACATAAGTTCCTTTGACATCTGTTGTCTCAAACCTGCGCTGGAGGTGTCCCTCCTACTGGATAACTTCGTCCTACCGAATAGTTTAATAATTCCTTCCTGTCTCATTCCCAGTCAAAGGCAACGGGTGGTGGGGAGCTGCGCATGACAGGTCCAGCGTGTGCATATAGGGTCTCTTCACGTTAGTACTTGGTATTCTGCTAGCTTTCTCTAAATTCATACTCGAGGCCAACTCAAAAACAAAAACAAAAAAACTTGTGAACACACATGGAAAATGGTAGATGCTGGTTCTGGTTAGTTCCCCCTTTTTGCCTGTTTTGCTTACAAGCCCTCATGGTCTGATTGTTGGGAGTATCGTCTGACTCTTGTGTCTGGTCAAAATAAAGGTAGCTGCTGACCACTGCCCGGTTTGTTTTGTGGACCAGGGGCTAGAGAGTCCAGGGTTCTCTTACAAAGGGTTAAATGTACATTTCAAGGGCACCAGGAAAAGAGGTAGATCAAGCCATTTGAAAATAATAATTTATTGCTTTTCCTTCCAAAGCTTTGTGAATTTACAAAAAAAGTTTATAGGCCGCTCAGTTCAGACTGAGAATGCAAGAGGTGAGAACCTGGACCACAATGGCCACTGGGTGTTCGCCTGCAGATAGGCACTGACGTCTGAAACAAGCTCCCCCAGATTTGTTTTATTGCCTTCAGAGATGCTGCATTCCTCACACACCATCTCACACAACACACTTGGGTCATTAGTCAAGTCACTGGATTGGTACAGAGGTTTTTTTGTTTTGGGGGTTGTGGGGTTTTTTTCTTTTTTTTGCCCTCCTGCTAGAAAATGAAATTTTCAGTTCATTTCTGAAAAATAAATTGGTCAATAAATTCATTTTGTTCTGCTTCTACTTTACACAGAGCTTCGTATTCAACCCGATACCTGAAAAACAAAATTGTTAGAAGCCCTCAAAATGGATGAAATAAACCATGGACTTAATTCTTCTAGAGAAGAATGTTAAGTGATTTAGATGATTCCAAGAAATGGTGTGAGTTCAAAATGAAGTTAGTGAGGGCAAGAAAGAGAGAAAAAATAAGAGGCAAAGCCCTACCTAGGGCCACCCATAAGAAGTCTCCAGCCCTGCGAGTCTTCCTTTCAGAGAGCCAGCCAACTCTGGACACTCACTACCTGAGTGTTCGTGCTCTCAAACTACTAGAGGCTGTCTGATAGTGACATTTTTTTCCCATGAAATGTAATTTTATTTTTATTTTAATCAGGATGACAAGTTAAGACACTATTCCTGGGAGAACGATGATGAAGAATAAGAACAAGAGGTGACCATTCGAAAAGGAAAAATAGAACTGCAGTTCAGTAAAGAACTTGCTTTATGTCAGAACTTCTTACCTTTCAAGCTGCATTTTCTTTTCAGCTATTAGTGCCTGGAGTTGCTGCTGTTGGGCTTCTCTCTGTTTTGCTATAGATTTGAGCAAGTTCCGAGCACCAATGGCCTAGAAAAACACGATACTGCCAAAGAAAGCCATGGCTTCATTAAAGTCCTCAAGTGGGGAAGGGACGCTGCCTGGGGCCGGTGGAGGGTGGGGCGCAGCGTGGGGAAAGTTGAGCCTCAGAGCTTTAGGAGTCAGTCAGAAAGGCTTAATTAACCTCACGATCCCAAAGTGCCTGGTGAGAACGGAACTGCAGCTCTGACGCAGACCTAGGAGTGTCCCCAGAGCCTGGCACACGGTGGCCCATTTGGTGTGCCATTTGTGTCCTTTGCCAAGTCATCTACACTCTGCACGCCTTCATTTTTTCATTTATAAAATGAGGGTAAACACCTATCTCAGTGATGACGTGAAGATTAAAGGAAACAATGACTGAAAGTACACTGGCATATCAGAGTTCAATAGTAGGTTAACTGGACCAGGAATTATTTCAGGTGTACAACATAATCATTCAATATTTGCATGGGTATTCTTATTTAAAATCTTGTTCTAATTAAAGAATCCCCGCCCACCTTCCCCTACCCCCCGACCCCCAAATAAGTCAAGAGGGCAGAAGGATGAGAGGCTAGTGAACCAGGCCAAGATTTAGACAAAACTCATGCTGATCTTACCTTCATCTTCTCATTTTCTGCTTCTTTTGCAAGTTGGTCAACAAGCTCAATTAAACCACCAACTATTTTCTGAAACTGGCAAATTTCTTTTGGGGAAAGAACAAAACAAAATGTTTTATTTTCTCAGCATCACCACTCTCCCTCAGTGTTCCCTTGCAGCAAGAGGGCGGGGCTAACTGCGCCTTCTAATTTGTGTCAGAAAACGTTTGGTGTCTGACACCCTTGGTCTGAACCTAGAGAAGGGTGGCCAGGTGCCCAGAGCTGGACTGGGGCATATTTGGATCTTGAGGCACAAAGGGCTGTGTTCATGAAAGAACCGCCTCAGGACGTGAACACTGCCTCTAGACAAGCCTCAGATAAGACACCAGATTTCAGTTAATGGTGGGGTAGGGGCTTTCCACCTATGACCTGAGCTAATAAAAAGCTCAAAGCATTTAAGGACTTAATCTCGCATTAGCTTTTTTCAATGTCCTTGGGTGTAGTGGAACCCCATGTTACTGAGGAGTAAACTAAGGCCCAGAGGGTAGGACGACATGCACACAGCAATCAGAAGACTGGTGAGAGAACCCACGCTACCTTTCACCAGTCAAGCTCTCTCCACAGCCTACAGATGTCCAAAAGCTCAGAAATCCCTGCTCTAGCTAGATCTGCTCTGTATTCACTGCTACTGGGTTTGCTTGGCTGCTGGGACAGGAGGCATCCCGGGTGTCTCTAGCTAAAAAAAATGAGTCTTTTGAACTGCCTCTAGAAATTTTCACTCCAAATAATGGCAAGTCAGGGACTTCCCTGGCAGTCCAGTGGTTAGGACTCTGCACTTCCACTGCAGGGGGCATGGGTTTGATCCCTGGTCAGGGAACTATTTATTTACTTATGGCCATGCCCTGAGGCATGGCAATCAATCAATCAATCAATAAAGGCAAGCCGGGCACTGAGAACACTATTTCTCCCAAGAAATCAAATCATAACTCCACTTCCCACCCCCAAGCCATAGTTCTGAAGTTTAAGGTTCCTGAGATGGCATATCTAAACAAATACCCTCCTCTCTCCACTGCAGTGTTTGTTTCGATTGGTGCTCTGGGACTACACAAGAAGGCAGGTAGACAAGGTGGGTGGCACATGGGAATTCATGAAGGCCAGGCTCAACCTTCTGGGAGCCAGCAGCTCCACTGTGGCAGGGCCAAAAGCTGCAGTCTGGGGGTGGGGGCGGGGCACAAAGCTGAGTGGCACCATGTCTCCCCAGATGACACTCACTGTCCACAAAGTCCTTGCACTCTTCCTTTAGCTCTATGGTCTGCTGGGTAACCTCTGGGTCCAACACCCGCAGCTTGTTCAGCTCATCAAAGTGCAGCCCTGCTTCACCCAGGATGTCCTTGGCCATGGCTGTAAAGAAACCAGCCCCAATCCCCGATCACTTCCCAGCCACTCAAGGAAATGCCTGCTTCCAGCCCAGCCCCACTCCTGGCCCCGGACACCAATGCCAAAAACCCAGACGTTCCAAAGGCTCCCCCTTCCCTCTGCCTCTGCCTCTCTGAGCCTCACCTGTTTCCTTTCCAGCTTCCCTAGAGAAGAGCAGTCCTGCTCTGAAGGGGTAACAGTGTCAGCCAGGAAGAGGTGTGTCATAGGAGCAAGGGTCAGGAAAGAATAAACTCCAGTTGCTTGTCACAGGCATCGTTCATTCAACACACATTTCTTGAGGGCCTACTACATGCCAACACTGCTAGATGCTGGGGGTAAAGATGAGTACAACATGGTGCCCGCCCTGGAGGAGCACAGAGTTTAGCTGGAGGAAGACAGACATGTACACTGAAAAATAATACTGTGTTAAGTGCTTTTACAGAAATATCACTAAAGCGTGGAGGAGAATAGAACAGTTAACTTGGGGTGAGGAAGTGACATGTGAACTAAGTTGTGAGCCATAAGCATATTTATTTAACCACAGCTAGGTACCCAAAAAGACATAAAAGAGCTTTTCAAATATAGTACAGGAACAACATAAAAGACAAGTAAAAGAAAATCTGAGTGAATTAAAAATTAAGGTTAAAAAAGTAAGAAGCCAGGTGTAAGAATATTACCCAAAATGTATGCCACAGGCACAGCTGCCTGAACTGGGACCCAAAGGGGTCAGTCTCTTTCTAGCAGAAAACACAAAAAGAAGTGAAATATCATCAAGAACATACCGATAAGGAGGCCAAGGAAAGGCATTCCAAGCAGAGAAAACAGCCTGGACAAGAGCATGAAGCCACTGGAAGGGCCTATCCTGCCTAGAAGATGAAAAGACAGAGGATGGAGCCGGAAAGGTCGGATGGAGCCAGATCAGAAACACCCTGTGTGCTAAGCTAAGGAGTTTGGCTTTTTTTTTTTTTCCGTAGACAACAGAACCAGCAGAGATAACTTCTCCCTTCCCAGGCCACCTTGCATTCCTGGTCCAAAGGATGCCTCAACTCTGGGAAGGAAACACTGAAAACTCACCCTCGTTCTGGCTTAAACACACACACAAAATAAAATAAAATAAAAATAAAAATAAGAGAGCATATACCCTGTCTAAAAAGGGAGGCAATGCTACTGAGGTCTAGCCATTGGCTGCTATACCAATTCCCACACCCCAGGTGTTCCGAAGGCTACCACAACATGGCCCTGCGCCAGCCCTTCCCCCCCAGCCTCACCTGTTTCCCTTCCAGCTTCCTTAGAGAAGTTCTGTTCTGAATGGGGTGATTCTGCGAGTGACTTCCCGGGGTAGGTGTGCCATAGGAAGAGCAATGGTTAAAAAGAATTAAGCTCCATTCTTGCAAGAACTGATTTTCAAGAGGACCAGAAATCCAGATTAATATATGAAATCTGATTTTTAAAGGAGAGTATCTAATTCAAAACTTTTAAGCAAGGAAAAAAAAAAAACATCCAACACTGTGTGGGCCAACTAATGTATGTTTGGCTGTGTATGACCGTGGTCCAGAGCCTTTGGCCTCACTGGAGCCCATTCAAGTAAGTTGGCTAGCATCTTCATTTTGAAACATTTTAATCATCCAGAGCTCCCTTATAATTGGGCTTTTAAAAAAGATCTGTCTTCCTATTTGTTCTATTTACACATATAGTCTAAGCATTTAACACCTACCAGCTGATTAATTAGAACAACTGCTTCAAGTAACCTGAGTGCACAAAGATCTGCTTCAACTTCCACTCTCTTCCCTGAGAGCTTGCATTTATTCACAAACATCTACTGAGTCCCTGCTCTGGGGATAGAGAAGTGAAGAAAATGCTTTAATGCTTTAGCTTCTGACCTCTGGACAGACAGTAAAAAGATAATCATGAATTGTGATAACAGTATGAAGAAAAGCACATGATGCTACGTGAAGCCATAGCAGGAGGACCTAATTCATATGTAAACAAAATTACAAAAAAACATTTGTAAACAAAAGTCTTCTGAAAAAGTGACACGCTGAGACCTAAAGGGTGTCCAGAAGTTTTTCAAGTTAAAGGGGGGAGGAGGTATTCCAGGCAGAAGGAAAAGCATGTGTGAAGATGCTGAGGCTGTGAGAAATCTGACGTGTTCCAAGAGCCAAAAGGCTAGCGTGGTAGAAACACTGAGCAAGGGGAAGAGAGAAACGGGATGAGGCGAGGTGGGGAGGCTAGGGCTGGGTGGCGGAGGGCTCTGAAAGCTGCAGCGATGAGCCTGGATTTTCTCATAAGGGTAATGAATGGGCAGCCAGCAGAGTGGCATAGTCAGATATGCCTTTTAGAGAGATCACTCTCACCCAGGATGGAGAATGGGTTGGAGGGAATAAGAGGATGGAGCTGCAACTATCTTGTCCACCACTGTTACCCGAGCATTTGGCACGGTGCCTGCACAGAACTGGCACTCAGCAAATGTCTGTGGCATGAATGACTGTGACAACAAACAGAGCAAGCTGTTTCAGTAACCAAGGCTTGGAGCGGAAGAAAAGTGTACCGATTTGAGATGTTTTGTAAGTCGAGGTGATAGGACTTAGTAAAGGATGATTGAATGCAGGGGTTTGAGGAGGAGTGAAGGAGAGTCAGGCAAGATTCCCGTGTATCTGGCCGGAGCCAGCTGCAAGGTTGGAAGGCACATAGTTGAATGAGATGGGTCAGACCGAAGAGGAAGTGTAGGCAGAGGGTTCACAGCCGACTACGGCATTCTCTCCCAACTACCACCACACGCGCACCTGAGGAGCACCGGGCACAAGAGCCGTACTGAGCTCCCTGAAAATCAGGGTGGTAACGCGCTCTCCACCCCCCGGCCCCCCGGGCTCTTCCGGACCCACGCTGGGCGCTACGAGCAGGCTCCATCCGTGGGGTGTGGGGAAAATTAGGAAGACCTGGGTGATGGAGCTGGCTGTCTTCACTACGTAAACTCCTTGAACTTATCTGAGCCTCAGTTTCCTCCTAAAATGGTTGCGAGCATCAGCGCGTAAAGCTCCAGGCCCTAGCCGGGGGTAAAACCGCTCCCAGAGCCGGGCGGAATTCCCACGTTTCTTTCACCCTGGGAAGGCTTTTCCTCGGGCCGCGGGCCTGTCAGGCTCATCTCGCCCCGGGCCCGCCCACGTCCCCCGACCCGAGGTTCATGGCTTACCTGTTTACCCCACCGCGGCGGCGGCGGCTGCGACCCAGGCTGACGTCGGCAAGCAGCTTCTCTCTCCGGTCAGTGGCAGCCGGCGCCCTGCTCGCCAGCCTCAGCAGCGGCCACGGCTACAGGACCTGTTTACGCCTAACATCACTTCCCGACATCGTAAGCCCGTACACCCGCAGAGCCTGCTGGGAAACAGAGGCCTGAGAGGAGAGATGGCTGCCTACAAGACCCAGAGGCCTTTGCGCCGGAAAGGCTGCCGGAAGTAGCTGTGCTCTCACCGCGGGATTCTCTCAGGGGCTCCTCCCTCCGCCCTGATTGGGTGCTGGGCCTGCCCCGCCTTATAGTCTCAGGCTCCCGCGGGCTTGGGGCGGAGTCCGCGGGTAGAGGACGGGAGTTTAAGGCCCGGGATTGCTGGAGGGCCGGCGGCCACAGTCTAGGGGCGGCACGGTGTCGACTTGCAGCCCAGCTGAGAGGAGAGGCGCCACCTGGGAGGGTGAGAGCCGAGCCGGCCCATGCCCTAGGGGAGGGGATGGACGGGTCCTGGGCTGAGCAAAGGGAGTCCCTCCCAGTCCTGGGGAAAAGGCGTGGGACGGCGAAGGGAGGTGGGGAGCTGAAATCCTGCCCTGGGGGTGGGTGTCAGAACCGGTCTCGGTTTCTCGATAGTAGGGAGGGGTACGGGCTGGGGAAGACTCTATAAAGGCCACGGAGAGGTTGGGTCTCGATGAATTTCCCCAGACCCTTTGGATAAAGCATAAGATTTACACCTTGGGTTTCTGCAAGATCCGCCCTTTCTAACCAAGATCGGCTCCTCCCCTCGCCATGCCCAGTATGACGAATTTCTGGGACCTTCTTTCCTTAGGACCCCACCTTGTAACACCGCCGTGGTTGTTTGTCCTTTATTCGTCTTGGGTTGCCATTCGCTTCGCCGAGTGTGACACGGATACGCCCCTAGCATCCCCAAATATCCACACACAAAGTCCGGAAGGAAGAGCATTGAGGCTCTCAGTGGAAACTTCATTCTCACCGGAGTTACTTTCTGGGGCGTCACCTGCCACAGGATTCCTGGAACCCATTGGCCTGGGCGGAATCTGAGCCGGTGGAATCTGAGCTGACGTCATCCAGGGGCTCAAAGCAATTGCTTTGTTGGAAAAGAATAGATTAGCTTGGATTTGTCTTCCTCTGTTGGCAGCTGCCTAGCCTTTAGTGAGCTCCTTTTCTCTGATCCTGGGGAAATTGGGCTAGACACAAAATACATAGGGAATTTGTTAAAACCTGTTAAGGAGTGGATTTATTCCTTTGGGGTGGGCAGAGGAAGGTTAGGTGACCTCACACTATTCAAGTTTACTTACTGATTGAGCAATCTGCTGGTGGGGGCTCATCTCATCCGTACATGACAAGCCACCAAAGGAATTCAATATTTCATACAGCACCTGCCCTGGGCCTTCCTCGGACATTCCTCCCAGGGACCTACCTAAATCTTTTCGGGGACAATTTCAGTCTAACAAACTGACAGATACTTTTAAATGTGCATAGCATTGTGCTAAGCACTGTTTGGAGAGTGGAGCAGTAAACATGGGAAAACCAGTGCACTTCTGGGTTACACTTAAAAGAGATAACGAGGTAAACTTCTGCAAGCTGTGATGATGAAATGAGGTCATTTCACTTTTTTTTTTAATTTCATTACCAGCACTGCAGTCCAAGCCTTTATCATCTCTTACCTAGACTACTGCTTCCTCCAGTCTTCCCACTTGGTCTCTTGCACCCTTGCAGTCCATTCTCTACACAGTAGCCAGAGTGATCTCAGATCATATCACTCCCCTGCTCTAAACCCTACAATCGATTCCCATTGCAATTAGTATAAAGTCCAAACTCTTCAATATGATCCGGCCCCTGCCTTCCCTGAGTTTACATCCAGCCAACTTCCCCCTTCTTTCTATGCACCAGCCATCTTGGCCTTATTTCTGTTCCTAAAATTTGTGTCTGACTGAGGAACTTTGCACTTACTCTTCCATCTGTCTGGAATGCTCTTAGAGCTCAGCTGGAAAGTCACCTTCCCAAAGAGGCTTTCCCTGGCTCCCCATCTAAAATAGTACCTCTTCCTAGTCACTCTCTGTTTTATTATCTTTATTATTACACTTCTCACCTTCTGGAATTGCCTGCTTATTTATTCATTTTCTTGTTTGTTGTCTTCCCACTAGAATGTAAGCTCCACGAGGCTGACTTGTTTGTTCTCTTCTGTATCCCCAGTACCTGGCACAAAGCAGGGGCATGATAAATGCTAACGCTTATTGTTTTTTTTCTTGTTAACTGACATTATCATGCTTCTTTGAACTCCTTGAAGTCAAGGACAATATCTTTTCATCTCTTTATCCCTCCTGCTTAACTTGGTAGGTACTCAATATTGTTTTATTGCCAAATGAATTAAATGAGCTGATATATATTAAATGCCTAGAATAATACCTGGAACATAATAAACATGCAAAGAATGTTTGCTTTTTGTTTTCGTTCAGTGAATGAATTTTAGTGATTCTTTAGAAAGCCAAAACACATATAGAATTAGATCATAAGGGGTGATCTGGCTTTGCCCTCCTCTGCTTTGCTTGCTTCTCCCTCCTGTGAACTCCCGTCAGTGTTTCAGTTTCCAAATCACCTAATTGTTTTTAAATTTATCATCTGGTCTTTTTTGGCCCTTTCTCCCCATTCTTGTTGGGCAGGAAGAGAGAAGGAGATAAGGCTGGACCTGTTCTCAGGAAAAAGAAGCAAAAATAGCCATCCTGTAGTTGTTCTATCCTGAAAAATGGTGACAATTTCAGGAACTTGGGACAGGGCTGATGCCAAAAAAGGTGAAGGTCAGGAAACCTTGGCTGGAGCTAGGGTAACCTCTGCCAGGAATACTGGCTGGCTTACTCCAGCCTGGCTCAATCCATGTTCTCCTGAAGCTGCTGTTACTTGCCTTTCTGAAACCAGACTCTGGGTGGTGCTCAAAGGAAGCACTGGTGCAGGCTGCTCCTGAGCCTAGAATCGTTAGAAAGGAAGTGCATCCTGTCCCTCAGACTCCTGGGAAACTCCTAGGCTGGCTGGATTCCCAGTAGGTTTGGCCGGAAATCTTGGATCCTGGGAACACTGGGAAGAAAACAACTGGAATCTGACTGGTGGATCCCCAGGGTGAGGACTTCTGCTCTGCCCAGTCTGTTCCTGGAGCTGTCTTTGATTAGCTCCAAGAGTTTACTTGGCCTCCTTGCCACCCAGAGCTGGGCCAAGTCTCAGGGAGACTGATGAGGTGACCAGCATCGGGTTCTGGGAGACTGTGCTCCCAGACCTGGTTCCTGGTACCATGAAGAACAGCAGGAATGTCTTTTTTGCCATTGCCTAGGGCTTTAGCCTCACCAGGGAGACTTGGGCTCATAAGGAGAGAATGACTGGATGGTCAGTGTTTCTCTTCCTGTTGCCTCCTGGCTGAGGGCTCTCCTCTGCTGACTCCTGTCTTCTCTCCCATCTCCTGCTCACAGCGCTGAGAGTATGAGGCTCTGGCCTCCACTGGCCACTCACTCGTGACCCACCACGGCGGGGCCTTCCAAGCCAACCTCCTGCCGTGTGGTGATCTACCTGCAGCGGGAGATGTCGGGGGATACCTGTCTGTGCCCAGCGTCAGGGGCCAAGCCCAAGCTAAGCGGCTTCAAGGGAGGAGGCTTGGGCAACAAATACGTCCAGCTCAATGTGGGTGGTTCCCTGTACTACACCACCGTGCGGGCGCTAACCCGGCATGACACCATGCTCAAGGCCATGTTCAGTGGGCGCATGGAGGTGCTGACCGACAAAGAAGGTGAGGTGCTGGGGCTTGTTGGGTGGGGTGGGGAAGGAAGGAGAAGTTCCTGAGGAAGTGATTTCAGGGTGTGGCTCAAGCCTGGCAGATCTGGAATCTAGATTCATTTTTCCTGTTCACCTAGTGCAGGACTCCTTCACCTGGAGTTCTTAGTAGAGCTTCAGAATTCTTTGAAGTTATACATAGAATGTTGTGTATTTACATATTTTCCAGGGAGAAGATCCATACTTTTAAAATATTCACATAGGACTAGATTCTCAAAAGAGCCATTGCCATAGTGCCTGGGCAGCGGGCCAAAGGCAAGCAGGGCCAGGTGTTTCTGTGTTGCCGGGAGGTGGGCCTGAGCACTCCTGAACTTAGACAAACTCTGTGGGCCTCTGCAGAGCCTGGAGGGCCTGTGTCTCCCACGGTATGTGCCAGTTCTTGGCTTCAGGGAGGAGGGGTGAAAAGCAACCATGGACTTAACAGCTGGAGGTTCTGTTCCCACTCCCGTTACCCAGTGCGGTGGGCTCTGTGCCCCTTATCACCTGCCACCAGGCTCGTCAGGTGGCCTTTGCCTGCTACCTGCTCTGAGGTACCTGGAGGCAAACAGTAACCCTCTGGGGCCTGTCTGAATCCCTAGGCTGGATCCTCATAGACCGATGTGGAAAGCACTTTGGCACCATTTTGAATTACCTCCGAGATGACACCATCATCCTCCCTCAAAACCGGCAAGAAATCAAGGAACTGATGGCTGAAGCAAAATATTACCTCATTCAGGGGCTGGTGAACATGTGCCAGACTGCCCTGCAGGTACGGAGGCAGAGTCGGCCGGGTTGATGAGGTCGGGATGGGCCCCCTCCTTCAGGGAGGTAGGGTCCAGTTCCTGGAAGGCCACGTGTCAGTACGATTGATGAGTCCAAACCTAGTTAGACACACCAGCTGTTGCCCAGGCCAAGCAAGCTGGCAGCCGGTCGTTTTTTAAGGTGACGGACTCAGGCGGTGTGAGTAGACCGTGCTTCTAGTTTATCTGCCTGGATATCTGGATTTTAGGCTTCTGGGAATGGGGGTCTGCTTGCCAGCTGGCAGTTCTATTGCCAGGGGCCTCCTGTCTCTATCTGATGCCTCCTCAACAAGTAGGGGGTGGCCATGGCAGAGGGCCTCTGACGGCTCCTGGGGAAAGCCTGGCTAAGCCTGGCAAACAGAAGATCTCAAAAAAAGATTCTTGGCTGTGTGTCACCCAGGACAAGAAGGACTCCTACCAGCCTGTGTGCAACGTCCCCGTCATCACATCCCTGAAGGAAGAGGAGAGGCTCATCGAATCCTCCACCAAGGTACTGGGACCTCCGAGGGATCGCCGAGGGCCGCGGGCTGGGGGTGTCGGGCCGTTGGCCTTCATGCTCTCTTCCCTCACAGCCCGTGGTGAAGCTGCTATACAACAGAAGCAACAACAAGTATTCCTACACCAGGTAGGGGGGGCACCTGATGAGGGGTGGGGTGCACTGCCCAGGGAAGGGCCACAGAAGCAGCGGGGAGGGCTGAGCAGACAGAAATCGGGCAGCAGACCCAAGGGAGGCCACCTGCACGCCTGGCACAGTTGGCATGAGTCTGGGTCTCGGGAAGAGAACATAGTAGGAGGGAAATCAGAGCCAAGGCATTTGGAACTCAATGCGGGGCCCTGGCTGGGATGTAGATGGGACTGAACATGTAACAGCCTCTTAATGTGTGTCATGTCAGGCAGCGGGCCAGGTGTTTTCCCTGCATTCTCTATGGGCTGGAGGAAGGCTGGGAAGCCAAGGGGCTGGGACTCCTCCTCAGGCAGCCCTCGCTCTTCATAGCTGGGCCAGTGTCCCCCTTGTCCCCCAGTGGCCTCTCAACAGGCCATAGTTAAGTATATGCAGGAGGCTGCAGGCTCGGAGACCCAAACCCTCTCAGGGACTCCCTGTGGGCAGACATATTGCCAGCGTCACACCCCACAGCCAGGGAAGGGGTCCTCCTGCTGAGATGGCAGCGAGCCTCCTTCCTTCCAGCCTGGTAAGAGGAGACCTCCCTCCCTCAGTCCTCTCTGCTTTAACTTAAAACCAACTCATCTCCTTTTCCTCACAGGCCCCCAAACCCGAAGGGGGCCCCATGACCCTTTCTCTCGCTGTCCCTCTGGCATCTTGACTCTTCCTCCTTTCATGAGAACGACAGCGGAGGGGAGGAGAGATCCCGGCCAGCACCCGCCCCTGTGCTGGGACCTCCCTCACTCCCAGGCCCCCGGGCCCTCACTGGTTTTTCAGCAACTCCGATGACCACCTGCTGAAAAACATCGAGCTGTTCGACAAGCTCTCCCTGCGCTTCAACGGCCGTGTGCTCTTCATCAAGGATGTCATCGGCGACGAGATCTGCTGCTGGTCCTTCTACGGGCAGGGTCGGAAGCTGGCAGAGGTGTGCTGCACGTCCATCGTGTACGCCACCGAGAAGAAGCAGACCAAGGTATGGGGCTTCTGCCGCGTGAGTGGGGCTGAACCTTTTGCCACCGGGCATACATTTTGCTGTCTTTCCCAAACTTGCCGTGATGGTGCTGCTCAAGGACAAAAGCCAATGCGTGGGGTTTAGGGAATGGTATAGAACTCTGCTTTGGTCAGCTGAGAGGCAGGGCTGTTGACCAGCAGGGAACAGCCTGGTGCCATGGGAAGGACCGGGTCTTTGGAGTTGGCCCAAGTCAGATCTGAATTCTGGTCCCACCATTTATCAGTTTTCTGACTTTGGATAAGCCATGTAAACCATCTGGGCCTCAGTTTCCTCATCAGAAATCTGAGAATGAGAGTGTGAATTTAACAGAGCTGTTATGAAAATGAGACAGTTCTTTGGAGAAGCAGTGCAGGGCAGTAGAAATAGCTGTTCAGATCTCCTCTGGCCCCCGCTGGTTGGGTGCTTCTGGTCAGTCAGCTTAGCCTCTGCAGTGACAACGCAATGCCAGGCACATGTAAGGGATCTGATAGGAGATAGCTAACTCTCTTTGCCCCGGCTGCAAGCAGATGGTGCCTCCCTGGAGAACAGCTGTGCACCCGCACGCTGCCGCCAGTGTGTTTTGGAGACAGCAGAGCATTGCTGGGGTGGAAGGGCAGCTCATCTCGGGGAGAGCTGTGTGCACGTGAAGGCCTCAGAGCAGCCAAGCTTTTATTTTTCATTTACTGTGCGTCAGGCTCTCTGCTAAGCATTTTGCATCTTTCCTGTAATGTTCACAACAACTCACTGAGGTAGATGTTAACATGTGGAAACTGAGGCACAGCAAGGTTAAGTCCAAGGCCCCACAGCTAATAAGTGGGGGAGCTGTATTTGTACCTAGGCCTGACCACAGAGCCAAGGCCATAACCTCTACACACACTAGTCCATTGGTCTGGGATTGGGTGAGGCAGGGGGAGGGTGCTAGCGTTCCGCGTCTCTGTGTCCGTAGAGTCCGTCTCCTCACGCCTCCTTCAGAAGAAGACCCCCGCCCTCCCTCTTGAGATAGAAAGTCATGTCTCTTGAGTGAGTTCTGGAGGCCTTATGGAGTCAGCACAGGGCCAGGGGCCCTGACATGCTGCTCCCTCTTTGGGGTAAAACCTCATTCGGTCCTCTCGTCCCCCTTGCCCCAGGTGGAATTCCCAGAGGCCCGAATCTATGAGGAGACACTCAACGTTCTACTCTACGAGACCCCCCGAGTCCCTGACAACTCCCTATTGGAGGCCACAAGCCGGAACCGCAGCCAGGCGTCCCCCAGTGAAGACGAGGAAACCTTTGAACTGCGGGACCGTGTCCGCCGCATCCACGTCAAGCGCTATAGCACTTATGATGACCGGCAGCTCGGCCACCAGTCTGCCCATCGCGACTGACAAGACCCTCCCGGAGTCAGGGCACGAGATACCCTGTCTCCTCTCTTGTGGAACCCCGCCCCATTGGCCACCCCACGCTGCTGCTGGCTTGGGTCTCTGCTCCAGCACCCAGAGGCATGACAGGCCCTGCCTGGGAGGTCAGAGGGCCTGAGCAGGGGAGGGACTGCGTTTCTTTTCCTAGCTCCCTGAGCACTTCAGGATGACTGAGTCCCAGCCCCTTTGCTCAGCATCTCCTTTCTGCCACAGGGAGCCGCGGCTGCCCCTGGGCTGAATGGACTGACCTGCCCACCCCCCTGCCAAGAGCATTCCCCTTGGCCCTTCGCTGAGCACCCCTTTGCTCTGCTGAAGGGCTACTTTAGGCCTCAGGGGAGGCCCATGGGGAATGGGTTCACTCTGTGGGGAAGGTGGCTTCTGGTGCTGTGGAGGCCCAATTTCTTACCGAAGGTGGGGCTTCTTTTTTCCTAAGGTGTTTAAGCACAGGCTTAATGAGTTTGGTTTTTAAAAAATAATCTAGGAAATGACTAGTTTTAAGTCTAATAATGAGGAGACTGGGTATTTCTGCTCCAGGGTTCCAAGACCCTGGGTAAAACAGAACCCTCGGCCCTTTTGATGCCTTTGGGATCTGTTTCTGTAAAGCACTTTGTACTTTTATTCAGGAGATTTGTATTCTGCCCTGACCCACGTCATCCTTCTCTGATCCTAACCCCCTTTTCCCTGTAGAATCAATCTGAGGGAGGGGAAAGAAGCAATAAAAAAAAACTGACCATCTTTGGCTTTGCCAAACTGGCCAAGCAGCTGGCCCAGAGAGCACTGAGGGGGTAAGGATGTGTGAGTTAGGACCTGTGGTCCTAATAACACCCCTGTAAGAAAGGATACTTTGCCCCTACATCTTAGGGTCACGTACTGACTTCTAGAGTCTTACATGATTGCTGTCTTTGATTCTCTTGCCCTTGGCTCCAAGGCATGCTGTCCTCACTTACTCTAAACCCAAAGAGCCGTCACGGGGGCCGGGAGCTGCTTGCAGCCAGGAGCATGAGCTGCAGCAGGAAGGCTGCGGAGCCCGTGGGCACCACACCTGCCTGCCATCAGCTGAGGACAGCAAGCGCAGAGCCCCACGTTCCTGGAGGCCCTGTGCAGAGGCGGCTGTGCTTGGCCATACATCTCCCTGCCGTGCATCCATGCTATTGGTTTTGTCCTGGCTGGGGAATGGTGGTTCTGCCCAGCGGTGAGTCCCTGAACACAGGATAATGTGAGTAGCCTGAGAGCCTTGAAAGGTTTCTTCATTTTTCTTGTTGGGTACTTGGCTGTGGAGATGCAAGCACTGGCTCTCGGGCAAGGGTGCAAGTTCCTCTTCAGGGCTTTGGTATTCATTCCCTTCTGTTTGGCTTGGCCCTTAGGAGGCTGCTTATCCGAATTCTTTTCCAAAAGAATGCCGCCAGTGAGGGAGCTGTTCAGCCAGCCTAACAAAACAGCATAGCACTTAGCAGTACCCACTCAGTCAGGAAGGGACATAGCTTGCCAAGTTCATGTCTCTTTACTCTTACTATAGCTAGGTGGCTCTTCACGGCTGACCCCATGAGCCTATGGGCAAATGACAGGCCAGGGTTAGCAGACACTCACAAGGACCTGAAATGACATGGTGGGGCAGGGGAAAGGTGACTTTAATTAAGCATTTTTCACTTGTCGCTGTCTTGAATGTATAAAGACTTCCAGGTGAGGCACCTTGGTGATCAGCTACAAACGGTTCTTCCAGCCTTCACTGGAGTAACAAGATGAAGACAAATCCGTTTCTTTGACCGGATTCTGGCTTTGGCTTTGTGGCTTTCCCACAGCGACTGGAATGCTTCTGCTTGAGGGCCCTGGTCTGTTTCCTCAGCTGCCTTCCTGAAGCCCTTTAATACTCAAAGTCCCAGCTCCCCACTGAGGCATTTTAATGCTTGTCCTTTGACCTCCCCAGCCCCTGTAGCCTCTCTTTACTGCTTTGACATTCAGATCCTCAGCTGTCTCAGTGGTGAGTAGTCTTTCTGGAACTCTGGGCACTTATGTTGTCCAACTGAAAATATCTCTTTGGTCTTTAAATATTGAATACTAACATTGAACTCACTGAAGTAATCTTAGCTTTTAAAATCAGACTGTGGTGTAAGGGTTTGGGGTATTTTCTTTGAGTTTCCCAGCCCCACTTAGAAAGCAGCTCTTGGCTGTGTGAATTTTTCAACTCTGAGCAGCCCAGGGGAATGTAAACAAAAAGTGTGGATGAAGGTCAAACCTTCTTGTCAGTTTCTGAGAAAACTGGAAGCCTGCTGTTAACTACATGGACCAGGATTAGGTTCTAATCACTCTGTTACCTGACCAAGTTCTGCTTAAAGGATGGCACAGGTCCTGACATGACGGAACTCCTTTATCATGTAACTACAGTTCTTTGTTGCTCGACATAGGTGATGGGAAACCGCTGATTTCTAATAAAATTGTGTTACACTTCAGTGGCACAGAGCTGTGCCTACAGTGAGTATAGCTTGGTCAGCTCGCTGCTGTGGACATCATCATTGTATTTCTGTTCGCCACCTGACCTTATGTTCTCACTGGGTCCTATGCCCCATTGCACTCCGTTGCCCTGCAACCCAGGCTCCCCCTGGTGGACGATTAAGGACAACACTAATAAGGGTTGGAACTGAAATTTAATATTAATTCAAGAAAACAACCTCTGTAACAATCACTACAGTAGTGGGGGAGCAGGAATCCTAAGAATCAGGGCAAAAATGCAGCACATTTTATCTCTGGCTCTTGGAGATCTGTGAGAAGCTCAGAAAGTAGACTGGCTTCATCACTGTCCATACCTAACGCTCCTTGGCTGAGTTTCTGCAGTTGTGATCTGGAGGCTTGACAGACCTGTGCTGGCAAGCCCATTGCTCCAGAAAACCTGACAGGCTTGCCTCACTTCTCCCCCAGGCCCACGGAGGCCAGAAATGCCAATAGTTGGCCAGCACAAAGAGCCGAGCCACTTTTTTGATGCTGACGCTGGCCTCCCGCTCTGCACTTGGCAGAGGGTAAAGGGAACAAGAGTCCAGTCCAGCCCCCACCTCACTGGCTGAGTGACCTGGGAGACATCAGCCAACCCCCAGCCTCAGGAAGGAGACAGATACTCTAGCTGAAGGGGCAGCTTCCTGGAAGGGCAGTAAGGACAGCAACCAAGGGCCCCTGCCGGGTCAAAAAGGGAGCCTGAGACCCTGGGGGCAGAAATGGCAAGGGGGGCCAAGCGTGCACTGGTTTATTGACCAAACCTCACATTCTAAACAACTTGTGTGACAGGCTAGGAAACTCCTCCAGACCTATGGCAGCTGAACACAGAGTTCCTGATGGAAAGATTTACTGGAACACAGCGTAGGCAGGGCTTACGGGGAAGGCCACCCTTGGAGGAGTCCTACATGGGTCTTCTGGAGAAAACAGTTATACTCCACCCGCCAAAATAAGAACCCCACAATCAAAAGGTGCAAACAATTAAGAGACCCACTGTGGCCCATGACAGAGTTCTGCAGCAATTGTGGGATGTGAGTTGTTCTTTGGGGTCCGAGCCTGGGTGCTTAGGGCCTCAGCTGGCCTACCAGTGAAGGCCTGAAGGTGGTGTCTTCTCATCTTTATTGCTTTCAAGGGAGAAGGGAGGGATCCGGACATCGAAGTGGGAACCATCAGGCCTCTCGAAGCGGAATGTGCCCCTGTGAGAGAAACTGGTTTAGAGGGAGTGAGAGTTGAAGCCTGTAGAGCCCTATGTCCTCAGCGCCAGAACTGAGGCAGGATAAGACAGGCCTGGGCTCTCTTCTGCCTGGCTCATGCCAGGACAACATTGATCAGAGACCCAAGAGCCTATCCTGGCCCTACGTGAGAAGAAGAAATGAAGCTCTCCTGAATCTGGCCCTTAGATACACCCTGCATAAGCTACCCAACTATACTTTCAGGTTAAGGAGTGAAACACCAGGGAAAAAAACCCGACTACATGGGCAACTCAGTGCAGCATCAAAGTCACCAGACCTCTTTGACCTAAGTCCTCGTTCTACAAAATCCCAGGGAACTGGAAAACAGTCATAAATCAGACAAGACCCACACAGCAATGAACAGCAGATAAAGCTCCACCTCAGGACTTCACTTGGTCCAGAGTTAACTGCAAGCTATAAGCTCTCACTTTTTCTGACCCGCAGTGTCCGTGGACTTGAGCTGTCCCTGCCCCAGCATATGCTTACTCACCACATGTGCCCACTGGAAGCTTGCAGGGAGACGTGGCTGCTGTACTGGAATGCGGGCTGCTCCTTGGATAACACTGGTTCCTGTGAGGGTTCAGGCAAAATAGGTCAGGCCAGACAAGCTCCCTGTACCCCGGGGCCACATGCTGACTGCCAGTCCGGGCTGGATGCCCCCTCATGCCTCCCACCATAACGGCCGACCAGCACCTTCCACAGCACAGCCATTGACCTGGGCCTTTTATTCTGACCGTGGGAAAGATAATCTCAGGCTGAATGGCTGAGGTTACAGGCAAAGATGCTAAGCCCAGGATCTACTCTGTAAATACCCTGTCCAGCATCCATTCACTCGTACCTAAGTGCCAGGAGCCACACTGTGCTCAGCAAACTTCTGCTAACTTAAGTCTGCTGGTAATCATAAGGTAATAGGTGTGATCCTAAGAAACGGAGATTTGGGTTAACTTGCCCAAAGTTATGCAGTAAATAAACAACACAGTGGGCATTTGAAAACAGACTAACCCCACAGCCCTGTTCTTTCCACCCCACGCTGCTTCCCCAGCTCGCTGCTAACATGGATGAATGCCTGTTGAATGTGGTCCTCTCATGACTGTATTTCTCTGGAGACTGGGTAGGGTAACACAGGAATTGCAAAATCAGATCTCTTCAAGGACCAGCAGAGGATGAACACGTGTAAAGAGGCAGAGGAAGGACGACCAGGAGTGGTGGCGGGTCCATGCCCCACCCAAGGGCATCCCAGTAGATTTTTTAAAAGGCTGGCAACCACAAGCTTTGATGGCAGACTCACTTGGGATTCAAACCCAGGCCCTGCCTCTACTAGCTACAGGACCATGGGCTAGTTAAACAACAGTCTCAGTCTCACTCTCTTCATCTGTGAAATGCGTTATAAGAAAACCGATCTCACGGGTGAGGTTCCTCACCCCAAACAGCCCTAAGCTTTCACACACTAAGCCTCTGTCCCTAACCACAGAGGAGGAGGAAACCATGCACTAAGCTCCTAGGCCTGCTGGGCAGGACTAGAAACTGAGCATTACTGGCCCGAAGATGCTCACCCTGCCCACCACCCCTCGGCCCCGCACTGTCTCCAAGGTGCCGGATAGACTGAATATCCTCCAGTGTCGCTCCCGGAGCTGTACTACGTCATTGTCGAGGTTCTCCAAGCGGATGCAGTAACGCCACTGTGGGGGTAGGGGAGAGAGTTCACATCTGAGAAGGAATAGACCCTGGGCCAGCTCCCTTGGAATTCTAGGAGAGCACAGGGCAACAAAGACCGACACCGGCACTGCACCGTCTCACCTCCCGCCCCCAGAGGTAAACCTGCCCACCTCCCAACCTGTGCCCACAGGTACACCTCCTGAGCTCCCCTCCTCCCGAGGGAGACACTCACCCAGTAGACGTGGGAATTCTGGGCTTCCTGGGGGAAAAAACACAAAGAATTTCAGGCCCAGAGGGCAGGAACAAGTCTATTCCAATCAACATCTCTCCAAGAGAGTGGATGTATTCCAGGTACTTGCAAAGACAGAACAAAGCCACAGGTATCTGTGGGCTGATGATGTCTCAACTATGGCCAACAAGCCCAGAGGGAGGCAGCCTCCCTTGGGTCCATCCCTGGCGCCCTTCCTCTTCATCCTATCAAGATCACGAACAGAGCTGGATGCCAACAAAAACCAGCCATGGGGCTCTTCCCTTTCTCACCACCCTCCCTGTCTTCCCCCACATTACTGCTGGTCCAGGCTGCTGTCCTCCTCCTCGGCCTTTCCATATCCCAACCTTATTTCAATACTTGGAATGCTGTATGTTGGCCTCCCGCCACTACCATGAGCTCCTGAAAGGCAGGGGACAGGGTTTCATTTATATTTGTATCCCCAGGACCTAGCTTATGGCCAAGCAAGAAATAGCTCAATAAATGCATAAAAAGTGGGAAGATAAGCCTACACTGATTTAAACAAGTATGTGTATATTCTTCATAGACATGGCTCCCTTTGAGCCGGAAGAGAAGGAAGAGTCAGCCAGGAGGCCTCCTTCCTGGGGTCTGAGAGTTTCCTTGCTCTAGGTCTTGGTGTCAGCTGTTGCCAAGAGGCTGCTCAATCCCAGTCAATACATGCAGCACTGGAAAGCAGAACCACAGGCACGTGGTTTAAATTTGGAACCCACACCAGCAGTCACTGGGGACACCACACAGAACCTGGGGGCCTCGCCCTGAGGGGAGGTCCCAGGCTGGGCACATACCCTCATGCCCATGTAGAAGGGGATGACGGTGACACGGATGTTCTCGGTTGTTTCCCGGTGGACATCGGAGAGCTCCAGCCAGGGGTGATTCTTCTCTTGCCAGGCCCGTAGCGTCTCCCGAGCTGCAAAAGGGGGTGCTGGGGCAAGAGATCGACTGGTTAGTCCAGGCCAGCGTCCAGGGTGTTACACCCTGCCCAACTGCTCCTCCTAGAAAGCCCTTCCCAGTGGTGGCCCAGGTAAACAAGACACCCAAACGTGAGCAAGAGCACAGGCTGGAAGAACGCACAAAACTGCCTACCAAGAATAAGCCCTGAGGAGGTATGTGACGTCAGAGGAAGAGAAATGGACTGGGAGTTAGGAGCCCTGGTTTTCAGACCTCACTCTGCCACTACCTAGCAACCTGGAGTCCCTTCTCATCATCCCTGAGTCTGTTTCCATATCTGTGAGGAGGAGATAATAGCCATCTACCTGACAGGTCTAATGGGAGATTAAATAAGATTGTAGAAATAGAGCTTTGAAACTGCTTCTGGGATATTCTCTTTGAAGAAAGGGCCCTCCCACTCCACCTTCCCTCTACGATAGAGGTTACCTTTTGTCTGGTCATATAGAAGAAATCTTTCAAAGAGCTCGTGCTGGATGGGAACCTGATCAGTGGAGGTGTAGGGGAGGATGTCTTCATGGCTGACATAATCCAGGCCTGGCAGAGAGACAGAGACAAAGAGACAGTGAAACTCACATAGGAGGCGGGGAGGAATGGGGCTGAAAAGAAACACAATTCCTGGCCTTATGGCAGGGTGGGATGACCCTGGCACCACTGCCCTCAGCATCTATACTCCCTCCCAGCAGATTAAAGGACAGCAGAAGGCCTCAGAATCCTCTCCCTGAGACACATCAGACCCCCCTCATTGACAGGCACCACTCAGATGCTCCTTACTCACCTGGGATGGCATAGAGGGCCCGGCTGTCATCATGGTTAGCCAAGAAAGTCACAGCTTCTGTCTGAGATCTCTGAGACTAAGGCAAGAAGCGAGTCAG